TCCTTAGGTCAATATTATATTTTAAAATTGCACCATGATTGATTTTGTCATTTTTATGGTTTTGGTTTGTGCATTTCAGTTTTCAAGCCAAATAAAACGTATTCTGGAGTATGAGATGTGCATTCACGTAACATTTCCTGGGTGGTCGTCTAGTTTTGCCAACACCTTTAGTGAGATAGTTCATCTTTCCCCCTCATGTTTGAAACGCACCTTTATCAGATAGTAAATGCTCATATATACTTGGTACTATTTCTGTTTACTTTTATATCCATCTTTCATCTTCCAGCACTGCACAGTTTCACTGTAAGTATATGCTGCTCTTTAATAGAAGAAAAATCTGAGGTTGGGCACAGTAGCTCAGACCTGCAATCCTGGCTACTCGGGAAACTGAGACAGGAGCATCACATGTTCAGGGCCAGTCTGAGAAACATGTCTCAAAATAGGCTTTTTAAAGGACCAAGGATATAGACCAGTGGTAGGGCACTTGCCTAGCATGTATGAAGCCCTGAGTTCAACTGCTAATATGACAAACAAAACAACCAAAAAAGAAAAAAGGAAAAACAAAAACATCTGAGAAGACTGTTGCTTGTCCCTTTTAAAAAATTTTCCTTGCTGCTGCTGCTCTTGTGATTATTTTGGTTTTCCTTGTAACAGGTCTTACTGTGTCATCCAGACTGGCCTTGAACTCATTACGTAGCCCACACTGGCCTCAAACTGACAGTGAGCCTCCTGCCTCAGCCTCCCAAGTACCAGGATTATAGGCATGCACCGCCACACTGGGCATTCTAGTTATTTTTGTCTGCTTATCATTCCATGAACTTTTGAATCATTTCTCTAGTTTTCCCCTGAGTTTTGATGATTTAAATACTAGTAATATGACAATTGTTACATTAAAAATATGTAATGATTGATATTTAAATCTATTAATGTATTAATCTATGATAAATTAATACCCTAATGATACTGAGTTTTCTTATTCAATAATTAACATAAAAAACCAGATGTGGTGGTGTGCTCCTGTAATATAAGAATTTGAGAGGCTGAAGCAGGAGGATCACTGTGAGTTCAAGACCAACCTGGGCTGCACAGTGAGTTCAAGGCCAGTCAGGACTACATAGTGAGACCCTGTCATGAAAATCAAAAACAAGAATGAAAAACAAAAAAAAGATAACCCAAAACATTCTTTTGTTATCCTTGGGGACCTTAAAAATAAGGATGTCAGGAGTGACCCTGCCAAACCTTGAAGGTTCCTTTTTGCCTCTGGGATTCAACGTGGACTTCTAAACTTCACATCCAGGGATTTCCATAGACTGTTGACACCTGTTTTCCACACGTCTCCTTCTAACCTGTAGCTATTCCACAGTCTGTGAACAAGCTTGAACTTGCATGGCCATCTGCGTGGACTCATTCTGTCCCTGCCTTCCCACTGCCTGTCCAAGAGCTCTTCCCCATGAGGACCCCTTGACAGCTTGTGTTAGAAATGACCTCTCTTCCTTGACCTCTTCAGCATTTATTATTCATGCCATTTGCCTGGAGACGCATGCAGGATTACTATTGAAATGAATCGACATCACGCCTTGAGTGGCTGGTGATGGACTGTGAGTTTAGATCTTGTTTCTTCGGTGGGTGGTGAGTCGGTGGCGAGTGTAAGCCAGTCTTGCCCCGGCAGCCTCTAGCAAGGCCCTTGCCCATAGCAGTAGTAGAGGTGGCAGGGAGGACACTAGTTCATGGGACAGCACGTTTTGCATACGCAGCACCTTCCGTGTGTGAACACTCTCACCAGAGCATAAATACTACAGTAACAGTGGCCTAGTGGAATAACGATGGGCAGTGGTCTTGGTGTCATGAGTATACCTGACCTTAGCTAAACTTTTGAAAGAGGTATAGAGAATTCCCCGAGTCAGGACACCCGGACAATAATTCTGGGCCAGAGCTAGTCGAGGAGGAAGATGGGTTTTCTGGGGGCAACTCTAATATATGTGGGGACTGAGAATGGGCATGGTTGGCAAGGAGGGCCAGGAAGAGGGGCAGAGAGGAGGGCAGCAGAGTGGGCCTGGGGGTCACAGCTGTGCAAGTCCATGCTCCCCCACCCTTCATGTGTGGCCAGGGTGTGGGCTCTGGAAACATGTCCCAGCCTCCTTCCCACAACAGGTCCCCTGCAGGATGGCATGGGTCCTCTGGGGACATCAGGCCTGGTGCACAATCATCTCCTTGCTGTCCACAATCCCAGAGTTCCCAGCCCAGTTGGCCCAGAGCTACCAGCCGCCCTTGCACTTGGGAGGCTCCGGAGCGGCATCTGGTTATGCAGGGTGAATGTGCTGAACACACCAAAGTGGAGCAGCCAGAGCGAAAGAGCTAATGGACATTAATCCCCAGCCCTGGGCCTTTCCTCTCCTCTTGCTCATCATTAGCTTCTTGGAATCTGTCCTAAGTCTCAACGCTGAAAAGTGTTTCAGGTGCTGGGGATTCTGGGTAACCATCCCCACCTCCACCTTCATGTAGAGGCAGCCTGGAGCCACCTGCTGGGCCCTGCACCTGCAGCTCTAGCATTTGAGGTCCAGGAGGCATCTTCATGGGCTGAAATCTGGGGTGACCTAAGGGTGCTTGATGAGACTTCTGCACTAATACATGTGCCAGCCCAGCAGCCTGGGATTAAATTCTGTGTCCCCAGCTAGACCTACTTCCCTACCCTTTGCCAGGAATAGGTCAAGGTACCCATGTGATGAAAGTTTTAGATTCTTAAAGACAGGAAAGAAGGACTTGCAATTCCTTAGACAAACATTGCACATCAGATGGGAAGAGTGACCCACTTAAGGAGCAGATGTGGCTTCTAGGGGAGCCCTTGGGCATAGGGACTGGCTCTGTGGAACCTACACTGCCCCAGCATAACTGCAACTGCATTGTGCCCAATGTGTCATCCAAACTTTAGTCATGCTTTGCTGAAGCAACCCTTGAAATTGGGAACACATTTTAGCGTGCTGCTAACAAAAGGGTAAGGGTAGATGCTTCCCCATGCAACTCTGCCCAGAGGCCCAGAACGAACAAATGCCATTTTAAGTTTGCATTTACTTAAGATTTCTATAGCTCAAAATATAGTATTTTTCCTCTTCTTAGAATTCTTATTTAGGTGACTGCCATAGACTGCTTTATACATGGTTCTCAAACATCGTTTCTATTTATAATGGCCTTTCTGCCTAGGGGTTTGGGGATCACTGTGGTGTCTGTGAATTTCCTGCCTCCATCCAGGGCCTGGCATATGATGGCTGTTCAGTAAATATTTGCTGAATGAATGAGCAGATGAGTAAAGAGGCTGAGTTCCTAACACTAAAATAGCCTTGAAGTTGGAAGGAATTTAATGCTGCGAGTCTCAGGAACTGCCAGCATTATACCCTTGAGGCAGTCCTGGCTGGGCTCCTCTTTTTGTTGCTGTTAAGCCATATATTTAATAATTTTAAAAGCCAACCATTCCATGGTTTGGGCTCAGCTGTGTGCACATGCAGCCTGTTCCCACAGCGGCCCGACATTCTTTCCTGTCCACACCTCTCTGCGTCTGGCCTGCCTGTGACCTATACCCCACACGTCCTCCCTGGGTCCAGCAGGACCCAGGCCCAGCCACGCTGCTAGGTTAGCTCTGTCCTGGAGCTTCAAACCAAGTGTCCAGAAGCCAGCTGCCACAGACTGTTCACAAAACCCAACAGAACAAGCTTTCACATTGTCTTTGATATTTTTGTCCATTCTTCTCTTTTTGGTTCTTTTTATAATTTCTTTACTTCTATCAATCCATGTTTGGGGTATAATAATGATCACGTTTGTCCTGGGAGCTGGTGCACATTCAGGACACAGCTTGGTTCTTTCCCCTCCTCTCCTTCCCATTCTCTTCCATCTCTTAGGCCCCTTCTCATTTGCAAGAGATCTGTCTCCCCGTTTCTTGTCTTCTTCCTTTTGCTCTTTAATTTATTTATGCTAAAAAAATTACTTATACCCTGGGTTTCCCATGTAAGAGAAACCATGTGATATTTAAGCTTTTGTGCTAGTTTATTTCACTTAACATGCTTGTCTCAAAGTATTGTTTCTATCCTTTTCCTTCTCTTATGTCACTCTATTCTCACTCTCTTCTGCCGTGTAATCTCAGCACTCAGGAGGCTGAGACAGGAGAATTACCATGAGTTGGAGATCAGGCTGGGCTACATAAGTGAGTTCAAGGCCAGTCTGCACTACATAGTGAGACCTTGCATCAAAAAAAAAATTAATAAATAAGGAAGTGCCAGTAGTAAGTGCCCACCTGAACTGGTACATCATGGGTATTTTGGCACTGTCCCAGGGATGAAGATAAAGAACCCCTGCCTGCCATTCTGAGGGTATGAAAGATAACATAAAGCAGTGATAGCCCCCAGCCCGCTCCTTCATTTCCTCAACCCTGTGTGGACTCTTCCTTGGCTCATCATTGTCCTCTACCTACGTGGAGGGCAAGTTTGTGTCACCTGTCATCAGGCTGAGCACAGACCTGCTACGTAAGAAGGACTGAATAAATGTTTGTGCGTAGCTTTGGGGAGCCCACCCCAATAAGGAGGTTGGGGCAAGCTCTCCTGAGAGGTCCACTTACACTGAGTCTTACAAGGTGAATGGGAGTTGGGTGAAGAAGATAGAGAAGAGTGGAGTGGACAAGAAATAGCGTGCTAGGCAGAGAGAATATGGGATGGATGGATGAACAGACGGACCTGGTGTGGAAATCTGAATTTGATGGTGCAGTGGTACCGAATATTCTGACTGGTGGCTGAATCTGGGGTGTCTTGCTAGAGTGTGTGATGAGTGGTGATGGCAGGAGAGATGTCTCGGTTGCCTTAGTCCTGATGGCCCGTGGCCCCGTGTTACCAGGAGTCCCACACATGCCAGGAAGGGGTGGCACAAAGACACCAGTCTGTCTGCCAGGCCTGGGGAAATTAAGGTAAGCCCCTCAGCCTTGTGTCAAGCAGCTCACCCAAGGCTCCTCTCCCACCCAGATGAGCGAGAAGTTGTGCAGAAGAAAACCTTCACAAAATGGGTCAACTCCCACCTGGCGCGTGTGTCCTGCCGCATCAGTGATCTCTACAAGGACCTGCGGGATGGGCGGATGCTCATCAAGCTGCTGGAGGTGCTCTCGGGAGAGATGCTGGTAAAGCCCTGCCCTGTGCTGGGCCCACTCCTGGGACCCTCTCCAAGAAAGACAGGGTCAGGACTGTCTGCAGTTCTCGTGGTCTGCCAGGATACATCCCTGCTCCTTTGGGAGTTTCCATTACTTTTTTTTTGTGTGTGTGTACCGGGGATCAAACTCAAGACCTCACGCTTGCCAGGCAGGTGCTTATGCCGCTGAACTGAATCCCCAGCCGTTTCCATTACTTGAAGTTTCCATATAGCGCTGAGTTCTCTGTCCCCTTCCCAGAACTTCTCACGCCTTCTGACCACCCTGCCCCTTCATGCTTCTCCTCCAGGCATGGAGCACTCTGTCCTCCTGCAGGGGGCTGGGCATCTGGAGCAGCCTACAGTGGCCTGGGCCTCAGGCTTTTGCATGGGCTGGGAGGTCTAGGTTTCTGGGGAAGCTTGCATCCCTCTTGGAATGAAGAGGCAAGTGTGGAAGATAATTTCTGCATGTTTTACCACGTGTCCAAGCAGAGCCCTAATAGAGGCCCTCTCAGTTGGACTTCCTGGCAGTATGACTACCCCTGAAGGAGATGTAGGTGAAAGGGCATTTGTGTTCACTTATTTCCTTTGTGACCTGGAGCCTCTCAAGCAGGACTCTTTACCTCAATTTCCTCCACATGGAGAATCAGGGCAGTGATACCCATTTCCAAGGTATTCTGGGGTCCTCTAGTTTGAATAAAACGGTACCACATTTGGCTTTTCAACTCCAGGCTGACATTCTGCCTCTTACCTTGAATTGAAATTCTACTTGACTGGGTAGCTGGAGTAGTTTCAGACAACTCAGTTGACATCTGTGATGATCCCCCAGGGTTTTGGCTGGGTGTCTTAAAAGGAGGGAGGAGATTGGTTGGTAGGGATGGGTCCATTACCAGTCATGAAGAGTCATTCTTGCCGTCCATCAGTGGTAAGTAGTTGTGAGAACTGTGCCTGGTGCTTAGTAAGTGCTCAGTTAGCTGCCCATCATGGTGTCATGTTGGGGTATCATTCACACCCATCAGAAGGTGATGTCAGACTCATGCAACCTAACTGCAGAGCTCTGAGTGTTGAGGCAGAGGCCTCTGAACTTTGCCGAAGGAAAAGTTTGAAAGTGCTGGGAGTGAACCTGGAGTTTGGCCAACAAAGTGGGGATCAGCAGGGATCTGTCCATGCCTTAGCCACCTCCAGGCTGACCTTGTAGTCCCTACATGCCCACGGAGGCCACTACTGTCCCCCAGCCCAGGCCAACCAAGGGGAAGATGCGCATCCACTGCCTGGAGAATGTGGACAAGGCCCTACAGTTCCTCAAGGAGCAGCGTGTGCACCTGGAGAACATGGGCTCCCACGACATTGTGGATGGGAACCACCGCCTGGTGCTAGGCCTCATCTGGACCATCATCCTTCGCTTCCAGGTAGGTCCCAGTGGCCTCTCAGAGTCGGCCAGTGCTCGGAAATCTTCTGCAGTGATGAATGTTGTGGGAGGCTTGTCAGAAGAACCCATCTTCTATGTTGTTCCCCAGTGCTGACAGTGGTGGCCACTTCTGAGTCAGTCTTTTGAGGGAGGAGACCAGAGCTTAATGAAAAGCTGGGTTTTCATCAGCTGGAAGATCTGCTTTATATAACCCTTTTACCTGCTTTTGTGTGTAACTTTTTTTGTTTTTTGGAAAAATTTGATTCAAAAATTGTACAGGGAAATACATCTGTTTTGTTTTGTTTTGGTACTGGGGATCAAACTCATGACCTCATGCTTGCCAGGCAGGCACTAGTGCCGCTGAACTAAACCCCAGAAAATATACTTTAAATCAGATACTTTTATCAGCCTGAAATGCAAGGCCTAGATTATTGGTAAGGAAATTTAGAAGGACAAGGAAAAGAAAGCAGGACCTCACAACCACTGGCTTGAGGATGGGAAGGACATAACCCGAGGAGGTGATGGAAGGAGGAAGACAGCAAAGCATCCCACAGACCAAAAGCCTTGTCCTTGTGGTCCTGGATGTCTGGTCTCACTCCCTAGGAGTGCAAAAGATGAACAATAGCAGCAGTCTGGGCCCAGACATGGCACACACCTGTAATCTCAGCACCTGAGAGGCTGATGCAGGAGGTTTACAAGTGCCAGCCTTACTTTTCTCATTGCTGAGACAAATTACCCAACACCAAAGATAAAGCAGGAAAGATTTATTTGGCTCACAGTTCATGGAGGTTTAAGTCCATAATCAGCTGGCTCCAAGACAGTGTAGCATGGCAAAGGGGCATCGCAGAAGAGAAACAGTTCACGGCAGGCAGAAGGCAGCAAAATAAGGGACAAAACAAGCCTCTCTCTTCTCCTTATATTGTATCCGGGCTACTGGGATTAGGGGAGTGCCAAACCAATTAGTGAACTGATTTACTAATCACACCCTTCTCCCAGTACCCTTAATTCTGGTGTCTAACCAGGAATTAGTCACTGTAGATTCAACCACCTCTGAGAAAGCCCCATCTATGATTGCATGAGGGTTTAGGGGGACAATTAGACATAGCCATAACACAGTCCAGCCTACGCAACTTAGTAACTTAGTGAGGACTCTGTCTCAAAACTTTTAAAAGGTCTAGGGATAGAACGCATTGTAAAGGCTGGGTTCAACCTACAGTACTGCAAAAATGAACCAAAACCACAGCAACAAAACCCAGCAGAACTGATGAGAGTAAAGGCAAGGAAAACCGCTGATGAAAAAGTTTTGCCATCTAATATTCATGTTATTCTATCATTTTGTGGGACATTGTAGCACAAGACGAGGAACCGAGGCATGTTTTCATCCATCCTCAGCTTCCTATTCAAGTGGTCTGATTAAAGCTGTATCCTCTGGCATGAGGAAGCGTCCCTATGCCCCGCTACCTGACTGAGGCTGGGGCCCAAGGCCTCAGGGTGGTGTTGCTGTGGTCCTGGTGCGGGTGGTTGGCGCAGGAGGAGGAGAGGGAGGGAGCCACCAGGAGGCGGGGAGGCAGAGTCGCACACAGCTGACTTTTGTCTTTTCTACCACCTTCAGATTCAGGACATTGTTGTCCAAACTCAGGAAGGCCGTGAGACACGCTCAGCCAAGGATGCGCTGCTGTTGTGGTGCCAGATGAAGACAGCAGGGTATGTGTGCCGGGGAAATCTGCCATCACTGTGTTCCCTACCGGCTCGCTGCCTCCAGGGGCTGCTGTCCCTAAGAGATGCCTGACATCCTTGCTGAGAACTGTAGATGAGTCGAGTCTGTCCTGGCCTGATTCTTTGAGGCCTAGACTACAGGATTCTTTTCTGGAGTTGCCTTGGGTCAGCCCATGGGGCCTGTTGGTTGTACGGGCCACCGTTCTTGGGGGTGTTGTTGTGTGCTGCCACTGCTATACCCTCTGTGTTGAATCAGCTCAAGAAGACAGGACTTTTTCCTCTCCTAGTGTATTGGCCTTTGCTTAGGTCACACAAGCTTGCAACTGCAAAAGGATCTATTTCTTAGGTCTTATGTCTCTCTTGACCGTAGCTACCCCCATGTCAATGTAACCAACTTCACCTCCAGCTGGAAGGATGGCCTGGCCTTTAATGCCCTGATACACAAGCACCGGTAAGAGAAGGAACGCCCCCTACTGGTGGGATGACACATCACGGGACTCTTGCCTCTTCCATTTCTTCTCCCACCCTGAGCACCACCAGTGGCCCCCGCTTCCTTTTGGTCACACCTCCTGCCATTTCCTCACCAGCTGTGATCCCAGCTGCCCACTCTTCCCATTTTTCCTGCCCATTTACTTCCCTGTTCTGCCCAGAGTCCTTGCTTGCTGCCAGCGCTGCCCTGTAGATGGGGCTGCTACAGCCAGCCACTCCTTTTTAACAGCCCAGCTTTGTCCCCAGGCCTGACCTCATCGACTTTGACAAGTTGAAGGACTCCAATGCCCGGCACAACCTGGAACATGCATTTGATGTGGCTGAGCGCCAGCTAGGCATCATCCCGCTCCTGGACCCTGAAGGTGAGCCGCACCCCTTGCTGTCCTGGAGGGGGCTGGGCAGGTGGAGCTCCTAGAATTTGATCCAGGGCTCTCTGCTAACCTGCCCTTCCATTCCCCAAGGACTCCAGGGCTTTCCTGGCCCATGTGGAGTCCCCCCTTCTTTCTCCTTTTGCACTTTGTGGTCCTAATAAGGATTTTATCACCATCTAAAGTCGCAGACCTTCTGCTGCTCTGTTCTTGTCCCAGTGCTTATCACTGTAGCTGAGCTTCCTGCACAGAAACAGGGTTAAGCCCTTGGATAATGATTCTGGCTTCCGGGCTGGTGCTGAGAAAGTACCTCCCCCTTCAGATGTCTTCACAGAAAACCCTGATGAGAAATCCATCATCACCTACGTGGTGGCGTTTTACCACTACTTCTCCAAGATGAAGGTGCTGGCGGTGGAGGGCAAGCGCGTCGGCAAGGTACAGAGCTGTTCATCAATGCACTTGACACTTTCCCATTTACCACAGCCGGGCCTTGAGTGAGAGGTCCTTGCCATTCTAAGAGCTTTAAGTCTAAGCCCCCAGATGCATGAGGGGTGCCGAATACTTACCCCCATCTTCCTTTAAAGATCTTGAGCTGACTCTGAAGCAGGACTATGTCTGCCCCACAGGGTGCTGCAGACTGCATCTCTGAGGCTTCCACCTGAAAACTGCGTCACCAGCCTCCCTGCAGGGCCCATTTAGGGCCCTCATTTGCTGGGCTTCTTGTGGCTCCAGGCCTCTCAGGCTCCCACTGTATACCAGGAACCCATTGCTCTGTAGAGGGCCTACTGCCTGACTGCTTTCTCCCGCTGGGTCTTAGTGCCTCAGGGCCAGGGACCATTTCTCATCGCTGTTGTGTGCATGACACATAGCAAAGTCAGTGCCTGGCCGACAGTTTCTAGTGAACCATTTTAAAATAAGTGAAGACCCTGACCCTGCTAGGGTCTGGTGTGCTTGTGTGGCAGGCTTACCAATATTAGGGTTCAGCTGCTCCAGAACCCCAGCCTGGCCAGTTCCCTGCTAACTTTATCAGTGCAAGAGGAGTGTGCCACCCATTTTCAGGCTACCTCTTTTGTCTTAGCAATGATCAGGGACTCAGAACACACCAGTTTCTCAAACCCCAGGGTCTGAGAGATGGAAGCCCCATTTCAACTGTGGTGTCGTGGGGACCCTCCTTGACAGCATTGTCCTTGGGATGGAATGACTAACGAGGAGCTTCCTTAGGTCATTGACCACGCCATTGAGACTGAGAAGATGATCGAGAAGTACAGCGGGCTGGCCTCTGACCTGCTCACCTGGATCGAGCAGACCATCGTCGTCCTCAACAGCCGCAAGTTTGCCAACTCACTGGCTGGTGTCCAGCAGCAGCTGCAGGCCTTCAGCACCTACCGCACCGTGGAGAAGCCACCCAAGTAAGGGCCCTGGCACTCAGGAGGTGGCTGTCAAGAACCAAGAAACCTTCTTCTTTTCCGGGCTCTGGGTCTTATAAAGGTGTCCATACGTCTCTCTTCTGTCACCTGCCTCATGCCCCCCATGGGCCATCAGCTTATAGGAAATAGGCATTGGTGAAAACTGACTCACAGTCAACCCTCTGAGGACTGGGAAAGGACTGACGGTCTCCTATGTCTCTCTCATCTGCACCCTCAGCAGCAGATTTCTTTTCTGGTGCTGACCTCTGTATCCTCAGTCCCTGAGCTCTGTGTGAAGCCGTATGATCATCAAGTACATCTGTCTTTTTCTGTCCTGTCTGTCACTGCTCAAGAGCACAGCACTAACCCTGCTTCTTAGATCTCTGCACTGCCCCTCACCACATGTGCCCACACACAATCATGCAGGCATATAGCTTTGTGCACAGATAACTATGCATGCACAGGTATTCATATACAACTATGCACAAATAATAGAACATGCAGTCTACAGCTCCACATGTGCATAGGCATGTACACATAATTATGCAGGCATGCACATACAACTATGCACACATGTGCATACACAGTACACATGTACAATTATGTGGACACAGCCATACATGTACATACAGGAATATATCCACAAATAAGCACACACATGCAAATATGTGCACACACATACACTCATGAGACATTCCAGCTTCTCTGCCAGTAGGCTGACCTGCTGTCCTCCAAGAGGTTTTGCAGGTGATTGATGGTATCCTTGGCCTTGTCCCTCCCCTCTCACCTCCTACAGTCTCCATTCAAGAATGATGTGGGGAGAGTGAGATGCTGAGGATGTACTATAAACAAGTACCTGGTTTCTAGTCTGACACTGACCTACTTTTAAAGTCCTAAATTAAGTACAGATTCTCTCCCCTGCATGTCTACCTGGCACTACTCACAGGCTGTTACCTCTTGGCCATGTGGATGGGATAGCACTTCGGGGCCTCAACCTCAGCTCCTGAGAACTGAGATCTGTTTGGCTGGGCTTGCAGTGGAGACCTTCCTCAGTGGCCAGGTCAAGGATGTAGGAGTGGGTAGGTTCTTGGGATCACGAAGAAATATGAAAACGCCTGTCACCTAAAACTCAGAGCCCACCTGGCAGACACCCACCCTGCTGCCAGTTCTCATCCATTGTGCCCACTTGCCGGAGACATGGCTCATCAGGACTGGGGCGAAGGTTGCTTTCAGTGCAGTACATTATCAGGTAGACAGCACTGCTTCTAAGGCTTTACTGACTTTCTCAATAACAGACGAAACTGTCTGAAGGGCTAGGAGAAGCTTTTATCATTGACAGAACAGAGAGAAATCTTTTTATATCGGTTGGTGAAACTCAATGTTTCACCAAGTTTACTGGTACTCCTGTTTACTGTTCCCTGGTGGAAGCAAATGGTAGATGCTGTGGTAGCCGTGGTTTGTATGTAAAGACCCAAGCCCTAAGTAGATCCCTGTGGGGGACAATAACAGACATTGAAACAGGTAAGCAGACCTAGAGTTTCTCTTTATTTTTTTCCATTTTTAAAGGAAATACATATATATATATATATATATATATATATATATATATATATATATATTTTTTTTTTTTTAACACATACAGCCTTTTGATATATATATATATTTTTTTTAATTGGTACCGGGGATCAAACTCACGACCGCCTGTTTGCAAGGCAGGTGCTTATGCCACTGAGCTAAATCCCCAGCCCCAAGAAATATATTTTGATCTCCAAGATCCAAGGTGTCAGTATTCCACACTGACTTCAGTAAGCGATTTGGCTGTGGGGATCCTGACACCAGTCTCTCTACTCCTGTTTACCTGACAGGTTTCAAGAGAAGGGGAACCTGGAAGTCCTGCTTTTTACCATCCAGTCCCGGATGCGAGCCAACAATCAGAAAGTGTACACACCTCACGACGGGAAGCTAGTGTCTGACATCAACCGGGTACGGCGGGCGGCGTTTCCCTTTCACGTTGCAGTGGGCTGATGGAGTTTCTGAAACGGCCGTGGAGAGCATGCACTGGGCACTTCCTTCGGTGTCGTTACCCACATGCCGGTTATTTAGGGAGTTATCTGAGGCCCTTCTGGGGGTCAGTCTCCACCCACTGTCCTTCAGCCCAGCCCCCTGTTCAGATGCTGAGTCCCTTGTTCAGAGCCAGTTCCCTTGTGTGTCCTCTGTGGAACCCTGGGTTTGTCTTTGAATCTGGAGTATCATAACAGAATGGAAATGCCCTGTGACACTGCTGAGGTTTGGAGACTTAGCCCCACCCTGAAGTTCTGCTACTAGTGTTAAGTCCGAGAGTGAGAAACAGTATATAAGGCCAGCAGTCTGAGGCAGGTTTATCAGAAGAGGGAACCCAGAGGTCATGATCTGTGCTCCTTGGCACTTTAGCCCAGCCATGAAACCACAGGGCCATTACGGGGCGCTAATCTACCAACCCTTCACTCGTGAGCATCCCGCTCTACCTCCATCCCTGAAGTTGCTCAGCATTCAGGGAGAGATGGGATCCCAAGCTGAAGTACTTCCCATGCACCCCAGAGATTTTCCTTCTCCCCGCGCAGGCCTGGGAGAGCCTGGAGGAGGCCGAGTACCAGCGGGAGCTGGCCCTGAGGAGCGAGCTCATCCGCCAGGAGAAGCTGGAGCAGCTGGCCCGGCGTTTTGACAGGAAGGCCGCCATGAGAGAGACGTGGCTCAACGAGAACCAGCGCCTTGTGACACAGGTAATAGGGACACCCCTGAGGATGGCAGAAGGTGGGGAGTGCTTTAGAGCCCCAGCTCTCAATTGAACTGGGACCAGGCTGGTGCCTCACAGCAGCCGGTAAACCTCTTCCTTGTGGCCTAGCTCCCCGTGGTCTGCCAGATCTAGAATGTTCTCGAAGGAAAAGCTCTCAGAGATTTATTAAGTCTGAGGATTAAATCCAGTACCTCATGCATACTGCTGAGCTACCCCAGCCCATATGGTCTCATTTTTAGGAAGGCACCTGCCCATCCAAAGCTGCTCCCTGAAGTTATCTTATGTGGGCCACTAGTATCAGTAAGAATGGCAGGCAGAATCAACATCAAATGATGCTTCTCCAGGGAGAGGATGATATCTGTCAAATGTGCCTTTTTGACTCTGACCTCCAGACCTGGGATGTATTTCACTGAGAGCTTACCAAGGGCTGATCCTTCATCAGAGCATCTGTTCCCTCCTACTTAGAGCTTGGAATCAAATTAAATTCTGTCCAGAAAAGGAATAGTGAGATTCTGAGATCATTAGAGAGGGTACGTGCACCCCAGATAGCACGTGGGTAGACCATCTGCTGCAACTGCGTGGTTTCTAGGTACAAGCAGCCCCTGCTCCTCAGAATCAGACTGGTGAGGTGGGGTGGGAGTGCCAGAGACCATCGGACAGTACTAGCAGAGTTGAGTGAGAGGGAAAGAAGGGAGCAGAAAAAGAATTGGGATGAGCTGGGTACATGTGCCCATCCCCCAGGACAAATGTAATCATTATATACTGCAACCATATACTACGAAAAACAGTTTTTAAATTAACAGTAATAACTCAGTGGTGCAAGTGCATGCCTGGCAAGTACAGGGTCCTGAGTTTGATTCCTGATACCGTTAAATAAAGTAACAAAGTTTGGAACACAGTGTTGCTGGTATGTGAGGTATAGGGAGTAGAATCAGGCTGCTTTTAGAGATTCTCATGAGACATTTAGTTTTGGGAATGTAGCTCCAATAAGATAAGCTGCCAAAAGACAACAGAAACAACCCTTTTACAAGAACTTTCTGGGCTGGGAGTTAACTCAGTGGCATAAACTTCTGCCTGGCAAGTACAAAGTCATGAGTTCGATCTCTGGTACCAAAAAAAAAAAAAAAAAAAGACTACTTTCCAGGCCAGCAGCTGGGTGCACATCTGGGGAGGAGCCTGGGGCACCTGACTAAGCTGGCTTTTCTCCCTGAGGACAGGATAATTTCGGGTATGACCTGGCAGCTGTAGAAGCTGCCAAGAAGAAGCATGAAGCCATTGAGACCGACACTGCTGCCTACGAGGAGCGAGTGAAGGCCCTGGAGGACCTGGCTCAGGAGCTGGAGAAGGAGAATTACCATGACCAGAAGCGCATCCTGGCCCGCAAGGACAACATCCTGCGCCTGTGGAGCTATCTGCTGGAGCTGCTGCGATCCCGGCGCCAGAGGCTCGAAACCACCCTGGAGCTGCAGAAGCTCTTCCAGGACATGCTGCACAGCATCGACTGGATGGACGAGATCAAGGTGGGCAGGGTGCTGGCCTCGTACGCCACCCCTCAACATTCACCATGGGCCTCAGCAGCCCTGCAGTTCACGTCTGCATCCTTACAGCTTCCCTGCCAGCCATTTCCCTGAGTCACAGTGGAGAAACTGAGTCAGGACAGTGTCTGACTGTATCTACCTATCTGCTGTCTGGCTCACTGTTCTCCATCCAGCAAGTGTCACCAGTCCAAGTCCAGAGTATCCCCAGTGACCAGTGATTTTATCTTCATGGTCATACAGGGGCCAACCTGCAGGGCCGAGGAAAGAGGGACATTAATCAGGGGCCTGGAGAATCAGGTTCTAACTAATTACAATTTCACGCAGGTTGGCACCCAGATCTCTCAGTACAGGGCAAACAGAGAAGTCTGATGCACACTCTCCCTCTACTGTAGTGGTCTCAACCGAGGGTGCACATCAGTCTGACCATGCAGCTCTCTAAAAATGCATGTGTCCAAGCCCTAAGCCTTGAGGCAGATATAGTAGAGGAGCACAGGGCTTGAGCTCCTGTAGGGCATCCCTGGGCATTCTGAGGAACTCTTGCTGTGCCACTGGTTCCTCCTGAGCTGCAGCTTGACTCAGATACCTGGCCACAGGGGTCCCTTCTCTTCACTCCTCTTCATCCCCACTGATCCCTTTGCCAGGCTCACCTCTTGTCTGCTGAGTTTGGGAAGCACCTGCTGGAGGCTGAGGACTTGCTCCAGAAGCACAAGTTGATGGAAGCTGATATTGCTATCCAAGGGGACAAGGTGAAGGCCATCACCGCAGCCACCCTGCCGTTCATTGAGAGCACAGGTGAGGCCCAGGGGGTTCCTCGATTGAGACCTTTGATAACAGAGCCTGTTTTCTGATCCATCACCCCTCCTAGGAGGTATCTTATGCAGCGGCCTTTAGAATCCTGCTCCTTTTATCAAATAAGCAATGATGCCCAAAGCAGGAGGGATGGCAAGGCTCTGCAGAGAACAGGCAGCTGCTTGGTGATCTGCAGTTATGTGTTTATAAGCACCAAGCAAACACCGTCCAGCTCTCATTCTGTTTGCTACTTCAGTTTACACTGAGACGATTTGTTTCTGGCTTCTGATCTTAAATAGGAGACCTCACTAAATTTATACAGTATCTGAGAACGGTTTAAAAATGATGTAATGTACATTTCTCCTGAGAATTGATTCAACTAGTAATTTCCCTTATTCCTGAAGATTGTGGGAACTAGTGTTAAAGAGTCTGGCTTTCCCTCTGGGTAACTGGGGTCCCTGCATCCAACCCCCAAACCTCAGGAAGATGGCAATTTTGAGACTGTACGGTTCCAACCTGGCAGATGATCTGAGACTTGCTCATAAATGAAGCCATTCCCATTCTTTATCTTCCCATTTCCTGTTCTGCCAGGGTACCAGCCTTGCGACCCCCAGGTCATCCAGGACCGAGTCAGCCACTTGCAGCAGTGCTTTGAGGAGCTGAGTGATATGGCCGCCGGGCGGAAGGCCCAGCTGGAGCAGTCGAAGCGGCTCTGGAAGTTTTTCTGGGAGATGGATGAGGCCGAGAGCTGGATTAAAGAGAAGGAGCAGATCTACTCCTCCATGGACTATGGCAAGGACCTGACCAGTGTGCTCATCTTGCAGCGCAAACACAAGGCCTTTGAGGATGAGCTCCGAGGACTAGATACCCACCTGACACAGATCTTCCAGGAGGCTGAGGGCATGGTGGCACGCAAGCAGTTTGGACATCCGCAGATCGAGGCCCGAGTCAAGGAGGTGTTGGCCCAGTGGGACCAGCTGAAGGACCTGGCCGCCTTTCGTAAGAACAACCTCCAGGATGCAGAGAACTTCTTCCAGTTCCACGGTGATGCAGATGACCTGAAGGCCTGGTTGCAAGATGCCCACCGGCTACTCTCAGGTGAAGATGTGGGGCAGGATGAAGGGGCCACACGGGCCCTGGAGAAGAAGCACAGGGACTTTCTGGAGGAGCTGGAGGAGAGCCACTCCGTGATGGAGCACCTAGAACAGCAGGCCCAGGGCTTCCCTGAAGAGTTCCGGGATTCCCCCGACGTGACCAATCGGCTGCAGGCCCTACAAGAGCTCTACCAGAGGGTGGTGGCCCAGGCAGACTTGCGCAGACAGAGGCTACAGGAAGCCCTGGACCTGTACACTGTGTTTGGGGAGTCAGATGCCTGCCAGCTGTGGATGAGGGAGAAGGAGAAGTGGCTGGCCCAGATGGACATCCCAGACACCCTGGAGGACCTGGACGTTGTACAACACAGGTCAGAGTGGCTTGGCCTCTCCTTGCCTCCCTACCCAGGTCTGAGTCCCATCTCCCACCATTAACCCAGCCAGGGATCTCTTTGAGAGGCCATGGAATCTCTTGTTGTACAATCCAGTCATCAGGAGTTGTGACTTCTATCTGGCTCTGTGGCCTTGGGTGCTACATTCATGGAGGTCTTGGGTTCCTCAAGCATAAGAGATTTTCTAGGCCAGTGATTGAGTTGTTCCTAGTTGCAGCAGCCTTTGCTCAGTGAGGTCTGTGTGGAGCCCCATGCCATGCAGAAGAAAGGCGGCGCTGCTGTGGATGTGGTGGGGGGTGAGAGGCTGGAACACTACCACCTCTGGTTTCCTGTTTTTCTATGGCTGTCTGTAAGCCCTAGGTGCCATGGAGACCACTTTGTAAACCACCAGTCTCTAAGGCTACCCTGCCTTGCAGTATTCTGATTCTATCAGCACCTCAACAGGAAGGTATGCTTAGGTTATGCAGAGTCCAGACATCGAGGAGGAGTAGAGGAGCAGTGTCCAGCTGGACAGTGGGTCTTGGGCCCTCCCCCAGGAAGGGTCAGCCCTCATAACCACATACCCCCAGCAGCTCTTCCTTACCCTACCTGACTGGGAGGACCCGGGTATTGGGGTCATGGAATGGGGGTCTGGGCAATGAGAATGCAACAGGTGATCTTCACCTCACAGGTAAACCTCTCTCCCTTTATCCTCTGTGGAGCTGGAAGCCTGTGCAGTCAATAACAGCTATCTCCTGACCCCACCCAGGAAATGCTAAACCGTGGCACTGGACCAATGAGCCAGCAAATAGAGTATGGCAGCACATCTGTCCCTTTCCCCTCACCTGGATAAATGCATCCAGGAGTGGAAGGAGAAGGCGGAGCTCAGGGATGTTTGGAGATGGGACCACTGGCAGTCAAGTGTCTGCTGCCACCTCACTGTCCCCATTCTCTCTGTTGGTATTAGGTTTGACATCCTTGACCAGGAGATGAAGACTTTGAAGGCTCAGATTGATGGTGTGAACCTCGCTGCCAACAACCTGATGGAGAGTGGCCACCCTCGCAGCAGAGAAGTGAAGACGTACCAAGACAGCCTGAACACCAGGTGGGGCGTGGGCAGGGCTTGGGGCTGGGAAGATTTTCTCCCTACACCCCAAATTCAGGCCACTTGCCATGCACTGCCACGTTTGCACCCCGCAGTGGGCTGGGCTTTGTCATCACAGTCTTATTCCTAGTACTGGGGCTGCAGCAGCCAAGCAGGATAGTCAAATGTGGTGAGCAGCAGGGTTAACACCCAGGAGAGAGAGTGACATGCTCTGAGCTTCAGGTGCTGCATCTGGGGAGGGGACAGCCGCACTCAGTGATGAAGAGCATGGCCGAGTGTACCCATGGTTAGAACAGGCTGCGTGGTCTCAGGCCCTATTTCCCTGGACAGTCTTGGGCAAGGCAAATTGCTTTCTGAGAGCTATTAAGTACTGTGCATGAAAGAATGCTCCTGCCTGTGCCAAAGTACAACATGGATAATAAGGCTGGCTTGAATGAAGAGGAGAATTAACAGGGAGCCCAGAGCAAGCTTCATGGTCAGAACAAAACACAGACCCTGAGGAGCCTTTTGAGAGCAGCTGCTTTCAGTGCAGGCTTTAATTGCCCATTAGCTCCTGGAGGATCTTTGAGGACAGAGCCTGCATCCCACTGTTACCCTGGGCCCTCTCTCCTTTACCCTGTTCCTCACTGGTGCCTCACCCATGCACTGCCTGGGGCAATCTGGGATGTAGGCTCAGGGAGGACCTCAGGAAAGAAATAGACTGGCACAGTGGAGAGGGCCAAAGAGCAGCCATGGGCAAGGAAGGTGCTGCAGAGCCACTCAAACGGGGCTGCTTGTCTCAGGGTGATAGTTCTCTTGTAAATCTGATGTTACGCAGAGGATTGGAGGGAGGGAGCCTCTTGGTTCTTCTTTACACAGTAGGAAATGAGTGTCTGTGATGTGTGTGTGCATGTGTGTGCGTGTGTGTGTGTGTGTGTGCAAAAAAGAGAGAGAGAGACAGAGACAGAGAAAAACAAAGACAGACAGTAGTTATTACAGCTGCTGTTGGAGGAAATTAGAGCACTCTAAACCAGAGAAACCCCCAGACAGGAAGAACTTGTCAGCTATGCAAGGAGCTAGAGTCGGAGAATATCAGTCTTTACAGACCTCTAAACTGCACCCCATCCCAAGTGAAAACCAGTACCTCATATTCTTAGGTAAGAAAAAGTCCGGAACTTGAAATGCTAAGAAGGGTTTCTGGCAAGTCTGAGAGGTGCCGGGACCTCAGCCGCTCATCCCATTTCCGGGCAGCTCCTTTTGGCTGGAGTATTTGGTCTCCTGTTGAGTAGGATTCTGCTTCCTTGAAGCTTGTACACATTCATTCTGGCTCTGCTCCTAAGAGGGAGCAAAGCTTATCCTGATTCACATACAACCCTTCAAATAGTTTTTAGAACAGCTGTCATTCGACCTGTCAGTTCCAGTCCTGTGGCCCTGCCTCCACCCTCCCCCGTCCTCACGACATACTGCAATCCTCCCCACCTTTAGGCTGGCCCAGGCTTCTCTCCTTCCCCATCTCCCAGGTGAATCATTTTCCCTCCTTTGTACTAGTTTTAAGCTCCACCCCCTACTTGTATCATATGGTGGACCCGTAAGTTAGGACTGGCCTGACATATGAACAACCTGGGCTGGGACTGGAATTTTAGTTTTAACTTACAACCAATATCTTGAATTATGACCTAAATGCTGGCTGTGTGTGCTTTCAGAAGGTCTTTGATACCAATTTAACACTTAAGGAGTTCTAGAAGTAATTACAACATCCTTTCTTGAATGTGGTTAATTGAGAAATCCTGGGCCAATGTCTCTCTAAAGACACTGAGATCTCCTTGTATAGAGGAGAGACTTTGAAGGCTGTGTAGATTTCAGTTGACAACTTGAGTTACAACCAGCCCCCGGGGACAAACGGTGTTCATAAGCTGAGTGTTCACTGTAATTACAGTCCTGTGTTGCTCACTGACAGGGCCGAGTTCTGAGAAATTAGTCATTAGGTGGTCTCATCACCATGCGAACACTGTAGAGTGTCCTAGCGTAACCTGAGAGGTACAGCCTACTGCACGCTTAGGTTGTGTAGAAAATATATAGTGTAGATTATTGCTCCAGGAGCCAGGCTGAACAAAACACCATGAGAATAAGCTGGGGATATAGCAGCTCAGTAGCGTGTGCTCAACGTGTGCAAGGTCCTGGATTCAGTCCCAAGGGAAGGAGATATTAAATGAAAGATGAAGGCAAATACTGCAATCAAGAGACACTATAGGCTGGGGATTTAGATCAGCAGCACACGCACCTTCCTGGAAAGCAGAAGGTCGTAAATTCAATCCCTGGTACCCGCTCTCCCCCAAAAAGATGCTGTAAACATGAGATGTATGAGAATGCTGCCGGGTACTATAGCATATGCTGTTTGTTGGTTGGTTGGTTGGTTGGTTTAGAAAGGGTCTCACTATGCAGTTTAGGATGGCCTTGAACTCGCTATGTAGCCTAGGCTGGCCTTGAACCTGGGGCAGTCCTCCTGCCTCAGCCTCCTGAGTGCTGGGGTTACAGGTGTGCACCTCCATGCCTGGCAGCATTTAGGTTTGTAGTAAACTTATGAGTATGCTCTAAGATAAAGTATGGAACACAGCTGCATGTACTGCACGCTTGTATACCGAGCAGCACTGCAGGTTTGTCTACACCGTGTGATAATCTCCTGAGACCATGTCATGTGTGTGGCCCATCACTGACCAAAACCTCCTCTGTTGGTGCATGACTGCATTTTTGTGCTGCAGGATTCCTTGTTCCCTACACAGACACGAGAAGTTGTGTCTCTTTTCTACTGCCCACAGTGGTTTGTGCACCAGGCTCATTCCAGTCTGAGGTCCCTCTGTTTGGGATATTCTCCTCCCAGAGACCCATGTGGCTGAGTCCAGACCTTTATTCAGGTGTCTGCTCACATGGCAGCTTAGGGGAGCAGCCCTCACCCAGCACCCTCCTGACAGAAGCACCTCCCCCTACTCGCCAGCCCTCGGCCTCTGTCCCGTTCCCTTGCTTTCCTTTTCCCTGTGCTTCTCATCCCTTGATGGAGGATAGGTTGTCTCCATCTGCTTGAGTGATGGCAAGGACGTTGCTCTGTTCAGTGCCCAGGTAGGCGCCCAGCATAAGGTGTGTGATAACTGCATGACAGATGTTTAGTGAATGAGTGACCACGGACAAAACTGAAATGTTCCTGCCCGCTTAGCCCATGAATCACCCAAATGCATGTTGAATGTGTGGTCGTCCTGCATGGTCCAACATTAGTTGGCACAATCCGGGGCCCAGGACCCAGCTGGATGCTCAGTGTTGCCGGACAGTGCTCACGGGAGTAGCTGTGCCACTGTCCTCCTCTCAGAGACAGCACAGTGTATGGGGAAAGGATGAGGCTGATGGGGCACACCAGACCCAAACCAAGACCGTCCCCTGCGTGGTCTTTCCATGGAAGGACCTGGAAAATCATCACCAGGCCTCTTGCCTTGGGCACAGGCGTGCTGGCCCTCTGGTGGGAAAACCTCACTGCCCACTCTCCAGTGCTTCAGACCAACTTGGTTTCTTCACCTAGCAGCCTCAGAGCCACAGCTGTACACCAGACATGGACATCCCAGAGCACAGGGCTTCCCAGTCCAGGAGAGAAGCAGGAAGCCCTCTGTTTCCCTCTCTTGTGTCTCCTGGTCTTCCTGCCTCTCCCTGGGTCTCGCACTTCTCCCTGAAGACCTGTCTCCCCAGGGAAGCCCACAGTACACCCACCTGGTCCCTCTGACCAGTCCCTGTACCCCCAGTGGGGTACAGAGATGAATGGTACTCTCTGTGTCCCATTCTTAAATAGTTCACCCCAGTGAATGCCCTGAAGGTGTCGTTCTCATGATCTCCTTGAATGCTGCCACCACCTCCTGCTCCTCCTCACTGTTCCCTTGTCCTCCCTGCCTTGTACATAGTCCTTTAGTCTACAGTTATTTCAAAATTTGTCTTAATTTATATACTCTGAGGCAAGATCTACTTTTGTCCATATTCTCCCAAAGTCTAACCTACTGCCTTAGGCCCTGCAGGTGTTCAGGAGAGATGGTTTCAGTTAATGAAGGAGCTCACATGTGCTTCTGTGTTGTAACAGTGCAGAATGGGCAAGCCGGGCCAGAAGGGGGTGTCCCTGGTGGTCTGGCATGGGTGATGGGCAGCCCTTTAAAAGAGGCTTATTCTGTGCTGCACACCCACCCCAGGCCCCAGGGGTATATGCCTGGCCTGACACAGTGCTGGCGAACCTGTTAGCTACAAGTGCCCAAGCGGCAGCCTAAAACTGCTTCTTTATGGCAAAGAGCCAATGCTGCCTTTAAACCCAAATACTGGAGTTTTAGGATGTAGAAAACAACTTAATCATTAACATCTTTGGTCTTTAAAGAAAAACACAGTAACACTGTGCCATTGGTTTGCCATCACTGCTGGTTTCATAGCAACACTATAGTTGAGGTTAATGTTATGTTACCTGGGTTAATTATAAACTCAGATTTCCTCTCTTTCCTCTTTTTCACCAGGCCTCTTTTCTTTTAGACCCAAGGTGAATTTTTTTATGGCCTTTTTACATGTCCTTGGGGCTAGGGTAGCTGGGCGTACTTCTGTCCTGAGTGTTCTTAAAGTTGAAAATGTGTGCTTCCTAATTATTTTCAATATTTCTAAAATGCTGGGGAAATTGTATACAGATACTCCTTGACTTTAGATAGAGTCACACCCTGCTAAGCCCATTATCAGTTGATGATATTCTAAGTAGAAATGCATTTATGGCTGGGCATAGCACTAGTCTTACCTACTCTGAGGCTGAGGCAGGAGGATCACTTGAACCCAGTTCAAGACCAGTCTAGGCAGTTGAGAGCCCCAACTTTAAAATAAGTGTATAAATTACGCTTAATCTCCCAAACACCCTCAGTTAGCAACACAGCATGGTGTTAGGAATTTTTTTTTTTTTTTCCTTTTTTATCGGTACCAGGGATTGAACTCATGACTGCCTGCTTGCAAGGCAGGCGCTTATGCCGCTGAGCTAAATCCCCAGCCCCGAAACTCATTTTTTTTTTTTTGTCTTTTTCATTTTTTTTATCGGTACGAGGGATCGAACTTACGACTGCCTGCTTGCAAGGCAGGCGCTTATGCCGCTGAGCTAAATCCCCAGCCCCTTGCATGGTGTTGTCTACCCTAGGGACCTCATGGCTGGCTGGGAGCTGTAGCTCACTGCCCCTGCCAGCTTCTCTAGAGAGCCATAACTTATACTGCTAGAGGAAAACAGTAAAATGTAGAGCTTCTAAGAATGTGTATTGCTTTTGGGAAAGCCATCCTATCATAAATCCCAGCTTGTTGGTATTTGCTGAACCCCACCTCCACACATAGTCTTTGCTGTCATGTTCCCGTACATGTGTCTGGGTTACTATCCCTGCTTACCTCCTGTTACTCAGGAGATCTGATCATCAGTTAGACGTGTCTTGAGTAAAACTAAACAAACGAATTTTGCTCACCCACAGTTTGCTAGGTAGAAAATTTCTTTCAACACACGAGAGCTGTAGGGGAGATGCATGGGGAAGCTGGGAGGGGCCTTGTGGCAGGGCTAAGGCACTAGCTGTCTCTGTTCCCTCCCGGGCCTTGCCCTCCTCTGGCAGGTGGCAGGCCTTCCAGGACTTGGTGTCACAGCGGAAGAACGCAGTGGGCTCAGCCCTCCGGGTGAACAACTACTGTGTGGACTGTGAGGAGACCAGCAAGTGGATATCAGACAAGACGGAAGTTGTGAAGTCTATAAAGGACCTCGGGCGGGACCTGGCAGGCATCATCACCATCCAGAGGAAGTTGTCAGGGTTGGAACGTGATGTGGCGGCCATCCAGGATCGAGTAGGGGACTTGAAGCGTGAGTCACAGCAACTGATGGAGTCTCACCCTGAGCAGAAGGACGACATTGGCCAGCGCTACTCCAATGTTGAGAAGCTTTGGGAAATCTTGCAAGAAGCTCTAAAGGACCAGGAGGCCTCCTTGAGTGAGGCCAGCAAGCTGCAGGCCTTCCTGCAGGATCTGGATGAGTTCCAGGCCTGGCTGTCCATGGCACAGAAGGCTGTGGCCTCTGAGGACATGCCCAACTCAGTCCTAGAGGCCGAGCAGCTCCTGCAGCAGCATTCAGCCCTCAAGGATGAGATCGACAGTCACCATGAAAACTACCAGAAGATCCAGGCCTCTGGGGAGAACGTGATTGAGCAGTTCCTACAACAGCATGCAGCCATCAAGCAGGAGATAGATAGTCACCAAGATGACAGCCTGCCAACAGAGGCCTCTGGGGAGGAGGCAACCGAAGCCCAGAAGTACCCAGAGTACCAGCTCCTGCACCAGCGGCTGGAGGGCCTGGGTACTGGCTGGGATGCCCTGCGCCGGATGTGGGAGAGTCGTGGCCATTGTCTTAGGCAGTGCTATGGCTTCCAGGAGTTCCAGAGGGATGCCAAGCAGGCTGAAGCCATCCTTAGCAACCAGGTAGAGAGAAGCATGCAGGGGTGGGGTAGGAGGCTCCCAGGGAATCAGCTCCAGTGGCAAGTCTGTTAGTGAGCTACAGGGCTCTGGGAATGAGACAGGATTTTCCTGGGCTTTTTGTAGTCACTAATGGGGGGAAAGGACTCCTTTGTTCCTCTTCATGTGTGTTTCCAGCCCTAAACTATGTCTTGTTTTGGGGTGAGTCAGAGGCTAGAGGAATGCCTCTTGCCCTGGCTGATTACCCCTCCATGTGGCTTTAGACCCACTGTCTACTGGTGCTCTGGGGTGGCGGAGGGACCAGGCCAGGGGAGTAGAGCATGCCCTGTGCACAGCTCTGAGGCACACCATACATGCTGTGGCTCAGCCCTTGCCCCCGGCCTCCTTAGCTTGTCTTCATGCCTTGTCTGGAAACTTCTTCAACAGGAAATTACTCTGGAACATGAGAAGCCCCCAGAATCCTTAGCAGCCGCAGAGGCTGGGATCCGAAAGTTTGAGGATTTCTTGCTGTCTATGGAGAACAACAAGGATAAGGTTTTGAGTCCTGTGGACTCTGGAAACAAGCTGGTAGATGAGGGGAACCTGTACTCAGACAAGATCAAGGAGAAGGTGCAGCAGATAGAAGACAGGTACTCTTGGCCCTGAGTGCCCTGGATGGCCACGCCGTGGAGGGCGGGAGTGGGGGCTGGGCACAATCGTGACCAGAGTTGGCTTCCTTGCAGGCACCAGAAGAACAAACAGAAGGCCCAGGAGGTCTCGGTTCTCCTGAAAGACAACCTGGAGCTACAGCACTTCCTGCAGAACTGCCAGGAGGTGAGGCCAGTGGGTGGGACTGCACTCCAGGACCTCCGTCAGAGCCAAGTGCTAGGGGCACCAGCTCTCTCACAAGAGCAGTGGGATTTCATAGGTGGGGTACTCAGTCATTTAGGTTATCCTCAAAATCTTCGGTTCTGTGACTCTTTTGTGCCTCTCAAAGCTGAAAAGTCATCCTTTGATTTTCTAAGTCAAGGACAGAATGTCTCAGAGAAGGTCCGAAGCCTGTCTCTGTTGCAGTCTGCCAGAGCCTGGCCAGGTCTGGCCTCAAGGGCATGCGACCTTCGAGTTCTTCCGCATAGGTACCTGCCCCGGGCTTAATGCCTTGCTGTTGCCATTTTGAAGCCCATCTGTAGGGCATTTGAACATCTTTATTTTGCCTCAGGCCCTGCAAATTGTGGATCCAGACTCAGCCCTAGGTAGAGTAGATTCCTATGAGTCAGAACTCTAAGGAGTGAGACTGAGGAAGAGGCATTTTAAACAAGCCTCCCAGTTGGCGGACTGCTGGCTTAGGAGGCCCCCACTCCGCAGGAGCACATCGCATAGGGAAGGTCTTTAGTCTGCTCTCTGAGCCCCTCCATTGGCAGCTTTCCCTGCCTCCTCTTTTAGCCCTTTCCTCCAAGCCCTTGTCTTTGCTGTCATCCACCTCTCCCCTTGATACACACCAGGCCTGGGATGGCACCAGGACATCTTGGAAGCACTGGAGGGTATCACACTTCTTCTGTCCTTGTTAATTATAGGCTCTGTCCCTGGCTTCTTCCTCAGAAAACACTTTCCCCATGTTTATTAATGATGTCTCCCCCTACCACCAAAAGATAGATTTAGCTATCCATCCAGTAAAATCTCACCAACTTCCCATATATGCCCAGTTATGGAAATAGGAAGAGAATAACTTATTCTTGGTTTCATGTCACATACCTACTGAGGAAGACACACCTGCACCACACTGTGGCGCTGGCCTGATGCTGGACCTAGGGATCTAGAGATGGAGATTTGTTCTACATACTCACATGCACATTGCCATACACACCCCTCAGCCTTCTTCCACAGCCAGGGGTAGAACCAGGCACCATCAGCCTCCCCCTTCTGCCCGCAGCTCACTCTCTGGATCAATGACAAGCTGCTGACATCCCTGGATGTGTCCTACGATGAAACACGCAACCTTCACAACAAATGGCTGAAGCACCAGGCGTTTCTGGCAGAACTGGCTTCGCACCAGGGGTGGCTGGAGAACATCGACGCAGTGAGTAGCACGAGTTGGGGCTGCTGGGGCTGCGGCTGAGGATGCTCTGTGACTGGGCTGCCCCCGTGGGGTGGACACTGGGTCAAAATTTGCTGGGTGGTGTAGGACTGGGCAGGGAAGACACTTCTCTAAATCATGGAGACCACAGAGCTCCTGAGATAGCCAGTCCTGTTTAAGTCTGATTGGAGCTGGTGCCTCTTCTGGGTCACTTGTGTCTGGGGACAGTCCAGGACTCTGAGAACACCTTAACTAGATCCAATGCCAAGACACCAGTTATTTCCATTTGCCTCCATTTTCCTTACTAGGGCTCCAGTGCTGTCCTGTCCAGGGCCAGGGAACCATGTGAGGTGCCCAGAGAGGCCCAAGAGAGCCATTTACTCTCACTGGGCAAAACCACTAGGGAGCAGCAAGTCCTTTGCCACCCTCTAATGGAGGCTAGGGGACCCTCTCTAGTGGGCCTGCACAATGGCTGGTGTTAGGTCCAGGCTCCACATCTCTTTGCTCTCCCTGCTGGGGCTGTCCAGGCAGAAACAGGCCCAGGACACACATGAGGCCAAGCCACATGAGTGAAGGCACAGCCTTGAGAGTCAGCCTGACTCCAGAACCTCCCTGGACCACAGCTGCTGCTTCTCCCCAGACGAGACGAGTTATGGTGCTTACCCATCGAGTTAGGAGCGCTCAGTACTTGAAGACAGATACCTTTGCTTCACTTTTCTCCCCTTGCACAGCCTTCATCCGGAGTAGGGCTGTTCCAGGCCTCAGAGGGTAAGCTCTGCTCCTTCCCCTACAGGAAGGGAAGCAGCTGATGGAGGAGAAGCCGTGGTTCAAGCTCAGGGTGGCCGAGAGGCTGGACGCCTTGCACCGGCTCTGGGATGAACTGCAGGACGGCACCAAGAAGGTGACCCAAGTGCTCTCGAAGGCCAGGAGTTCTGACCTGCGCTCACAGACCGAAGCTGACCTCAACAAGTGGATCAGCGCCATGGAGGACCAACTGCGATCTGATGACCTGGGCAAGGACCTGACTAGTGTCAACCGGATGTTGGCTAAGTTGAAGGCATGTGAGCAGATTGTAGGCTCAGAGTATTAGACAAGCAGGGATCTTGGGCACAAACCCGATGCCCTAAAGTAAACACTTGTTCCTCTTAGCTGCACGTTGCTTTATGACACAAAAATGTCTCCTGGTTCATAATCCATTTCCTCACCCTTTTGCAGTGGGCAGGACAAGGATCCAGTGGAAGCATGCCTGGGAGATATAGGATAGGCTCTGAAAGGAGGAGGCATCCAGGGAGACTTCCTGGAGGAGGCTGAGCTCATGGGCCTTAGAGGATGCTGAGAGGCAGGTGGATGACAAGCCAGCAGGGGCTGCCCAGGTGCAGAGCCAGTCTGACGCTGTCCCCTTGTGTCTCAGCGAGTGGAGGACCAAGTGAATGTGCGAAAGCAGGACCTGGAGGAGATGTTTCAATCACTGGAAGAAGATGCAGACCTGAGTGTTGAGAAGCGGTTCTTGGACCTCCTGGAGCCACTGGGGAGGAGGAGGAAGCAGCTGGAATTATCCAGAGCCAAACTGCAGATCAGCCGGGACCTAGAGGATGAGACGGTGCGTGAGCTACAGCCCCCAGCTATCATTAGGGTTCTTGGCAGCAGGTGACTGATCATCTCACCCCTTAATTCCTGGGGTTGCATTAAATGGAGGCACAAAGCCAGTATTTTTTGAGTGGCAACTCACTGATCACTTGCTAATGTCAGTGGTGCTAAGTGTGGATTGGAGGTTCATTCACATTACTATGTTACTTTTCCATCATGAGATCAGCAACAGGTTATTTGGAACCTTAGTGCAAAATAGTGCAATGCCCCATCTATAAAATGGGAACAAGACCCTGGTGGGTAGGGTAGTGGGAGGAAGCAGGGAGACACTGCCAGCCGCCCTCTGTCTGGCTCTTTGTGGGTGCTCATTGGCTGTCCCCCTGGTCTCTGTAGCTCTGGGTGGAGGAGAGGTTGCCACTGGCCCAGTCAGCTGACTATGGCACCAACCTGCAGACGGTGCAGCTGTTCAAGAAGAAGAATCAGGTGAGTCCCACGCCACTGCCTCAGCCCCCTTGCTTGACCCTGGGGGTCCCGTCCAGCCCTGCTCTGTAAAAAGCCAATAAAGCCAACTATTGCTCCTGTTGGTAGCTCTGGGGTATTTGAAGGCGGGCTGAAAGGCAGGCTTGGTGATCACAGAGAGAATTCTGGGAGGACTAGAAAGGAGAGCGGATCTGTGATACTCCAGACTTGGGGCCATTCAGACTCCCCCAGGAGCACTGACCTGAGCGTAAGGTGTTTTCATCATCCTGGATTCTGTGGCTGCCCCAAGAGGGTGCCAGTCACTCCTGATTTCTCTCCCACGGCACTGCCTTGGCCCCCTTCCAGGGCTGAGCTTGGCATGTGTGGTGACCTCAGGGTCCATAGACCCCTTCCTTCCTTCGGCCATGTGAGGATATCATGGGGCTCAAAAACCATCAGAAAGCCACTGAATATGGATTCTTGAGCCCCACCAGAAACATCACCTGTGTTCAGTGATCATAGGCCAGACTGGAAGTGGCTAAGACCGTGATCTGAATCCTGGGGCTAGCAGATGCCAGATGCTTGCTCTGCCAGTGCTGTGGAGGGAGCCTGAACCTCCAAGGAAGCCAGCTGTGTGGAGTTACAGTGGCCTCATGCATGGCTGGGAGCTGGCCCCACACCCTTTCTCTCAGACAAAGAATCCCTGACCCTGCCAGGTCAGCTCTCTGGGTCAGCAAGGAGAGCTTGGGAATCTAGACCCAGATTAGAGGCTGCATCAGAATTGCGCCTCCCTAGTAAAGAAAAGCAATTGCAACTCCACAGCACACAGTGCTCCCCCCTCCAGTGTGGCTGCAGCAGACACCTGTTATCAGGACCCTCTGAGCCTGGCAATCGGCAGTGGGCCGCACCAGACCCAAAGCAGTTTCTTCAAATCTCCCTTGATCCTGTGCTCCCAGTTAACATGATCTAGTCACAAAGGCTTCTGTAACTGCTTGCAGAGAGCTGAACTAAAGCTAAGATCCAGGTTTAGTTAAGGCCACAACCTGCAATGAATGGACAAGGCTGGTGGGAGACAGTGGCCTCGAGGCCTCACTTGTCTCAGTTGTAAAATGAGCCAGCTCCTGTCTTTCCAAACCTAGAGGCTTTTGCTTCTGTTGAGCCTCAATAAGGATTAGTGTGCAAAGGTTTCCAGCTCCCTTGGCTGGCAGCTGCTATTTTGGGAAAGGAGAAAATCAAATACGGATGGGGCTGCCCTCACCAAGAAGGAAAAATAACCTCTGGGGAGAGGGCAGCTGCCCCAGTGGAGACTATTTTAGGCTACCCTGGCTAAGTGCTAAGCTAGTTGCATTTTCTCCTGAAAACCATCCATCCAATGTGCATTCACCCGGAGGCCTTGTGGAACACAGCTGACCAGGCTCCAACCCAGATCCACCACTGAGTCAGACAGGGACAAAGCCTGGTCTTTGGCATCCCTGACAAACTCCTGCAGCCAGGGAGATTCTGATGCCACCGATTGACCCCTGCTTTGAGGACTACTGGTCTACCGCCTCCCATCGCAATCAGAACAAATCTTGCAAGGTGCACAGGACTTGTTCCCATACCTGACTGCATGTTAAAATCACCCGGGGAGTTTTGAGATCACAGATGCCCATCTGTCTCTCACCTCAGATCAGTCAGAATCTCTAAGAATGGAGCTCAACAGTATGCATTTTTGCAGTGCATTGTTCAGTTAAGAACCACTGCCTTGCCTGCTCTGGCTCCTGCCTACCTCTAAGCCACACCTTTTTTTTTTTTTTCAGTTTTAATTTGTATTAGTACATGTTTGCATTACATACTGATTATGTTCTTTGTGGGAAGCTGTTATATGGACAGAATACATCTTCATTCTTTCTTTCACCCCCTTTCTCTTATCTCCCACTCTCTCCATCTCTCGATCTCCTTCCCATTTGAACAAAAAGTGATCTCCCTGCTTCCTATTATCTCTTATTTTGTTCCTTGTTTATATTCCAAGTTTCTCATATAAGAAAAACTATGTGGCATGTGAGCTTCCCTTGTCTCCTTGCTGCGGTGTGAGGTCTTTAATTCTTTGGAGAGGATGCCTAGAAGATGAATAGCTGAGTCCAATGGCACTTCTAGTTTTAGTTTCTTAGAGAATTTTCATGCTGATTTCCATAGTGGTTGCACCAGTTTACATTCCCACCAGCAAGGTAGACTTGCCCCCCGCCAACCGCTTCATCAGCATTTATTATTATTTGATTTCTTGGTTCCTTGATGATAGTTATTCTTTCTGAGGTAAGATGGCATCTCAGTTTGTTTTAATTTGCATTTCTCTGGTGGCCAGTGAGGGTGAACATCTTTTTTATATAGTTATTGGCCACTAGTGCTTCTTCTTTTGAAAAATGTCTATCCATTTCAATTGGCCAACTTTTCACTGAGTCTTTTATTTTGGGGAACCTAATATTTTGAGTTCTTTATATATTCTAGTTATTAGTCCTCTGTCTGAAGAATAGCTGGCAAAAATCTTTCCCATTCTGGAGATTTTATCTTTACTCTGTTGATTGTTTCCTGTGCTATGCAGAAACTTTTTAATTTCACATGATCCATTTTATATGATTCTAGGTATTATTTCTTGTGCCATTGGGGCTCTGCTCAGAAAATCCTTGCCTATGCATACACTTATTTAGCCTCCCTGTAGGCTAAGTGTTTCTGTTTTAACATTTAAATCTTGATCCATTTTAATGTTTGTTTCATATATGGTGAGAAAGACGGATCTATATTCAGGCTTCTGCATGTGGAGAGCCAGTTTCCCAAGCACCAATTACTAAAGAGGCCGTCTTTCCTCTGAGGTATGTTTCTGTCTCCTTTGTCAAAGGTCAAACAGCTGAATGTGCCTGGCATTTATGCATCCTCTGTTTTGTTCCACTGATCCTTGTGTCTTTTTTTGTACCAGTGCCATGCTGTTTTTCATCCCTGTATATTTGTGATGTAAGTTCAAATTTGGGATCCTGATGCCTCCTGCTTTGCTCTTGCTTCCGAGGATTGCTTTTGCTATTCTGGGTCTCTTCTGAGTCCAAATGAATTTTAGGATTTAAGCCACATCTCTTACCACTTCCCCTTTCCTCACCAGCTCTTTTCTCCTAGTCCTTCTGCTCCATTCGCTGCCTTCTGGCGGCCCAGGCTCACTTCTATCCAGGGCTTTTGTACTAGCTCTTCATTCATCCCAGGAGCGCTCACCCCAGATGTTTGTGTGGGGGCCTCCCTCTTGGCATTCACGTCTCACTCGGGTGGCAGGAAGGCCCTTCCTGATTCCCTAGCTGGAGTAGCCACCCCCTCATCTGGCAGGCATCCTTCATCCCATTGTTGAATTTTCCTTGTAGGACACAGAGAGGAAGGTGTGTCCTTCATTTATTTACATGTTTGCCTTCTACTGCATCTGCTTGATAATAAGCTTTATAAGAACAGGGATTTGCTTCATCTCACTTCCATTTTGCCCCTGGCACCTGGAACAACATCTGACACATAAGCAAGAACTTAATGAATGTGTGTTGACTAAATGAAGACAGACAACACATCACAGCTAAGCTCCCTCCACAATAAGCTAGAAAGGCTTCAAAACAGGAGAGAAACACTTTTTGAGAGCACCATGCAGAGGTCCTAAGATCTCAGGGAAAGCAACATTGTCAGCCTTGTTGACATTGCCACTCCTGTGTATCCTGAGTGCTGGAAGCCACTGCTCTATCCACGTGGACTGCTCTGGTTTTACAACCGTGGGGAAGTTACCATCAGGAATGACGTGAGGTGTAAGGGGCCCAAGAGCCCACATGTAAGCAGCAGCCAGCCTTAGCCTTGAGGACCCAGAGCAAGTCCCAGCCACATATCAGGGCCTCTTGAAGAAAGACATGGTCTGGTCGCCAGAATGGAAGGAAAAGGCCATTTTGGTGATCAAAGAGTTCACAAAACATTTGGGAAGTAGAAATGGAGAGAAACAAAGCCAGAAATTGTACCAAAGAGGCAGATGTCCCTGTTCTTTCATCTCCAGCTAAAGGTGCTAAAATAAAATACTAGGTGGCCATGAGAAATGATTTTTCTTTCTTCCAATACATGTACCTAAGCGATCAGGCTCTGCCGTCACATAATAAAAACAGGAATGAGTCCAGAGCACAGGCGTGGAGTCAGGTAGCACTGTGTTCAAGTCTAGCCCAGCCACCGCCATGTGCCAGTGTCCAGCACTTCTCTCAGGGACCACCTGAGGGCGAAAGGAGGGTGCCCATGGGTGCTTAATATCCTGCTGCCAAGAGGCCCAGGCAGTTTCTGGTACACTGCCTGCTCTGCTCCAGCAGGACAAGGGGAGAGTGGTGAGGGAGTTAGACCTGGGCCCATGGCAGCCTCTGCGGGTCAGAGGACCCGCCTCTGAGCCCTTCCTTCTGGTCACAGACGCTGCAGAATGAGATCCAGGGCCACAAGCCACGGGTGGACGATGTGCTGCAGCGAGGGGAACAGCTGGTGGTGGCAGCAGAGACTGACCTGCAGGACATCGAGGAGCGCCTGGGGCACCTGCAAGCCTCATGGAAAACGCTGCAGCAGGCAGCAGCTGGGCGGGGGCAGCGCCTGCAGGACGCCCATGAGGCACAGCAGTACTACCTGGATGCGGACGAGGCCGAGGCCTGGATCAGTGAGCAGGAGCTCTACATCTTCTCCGATGAGCCCCCCAAGGTCCGTTGGGGGCAGCCTTGGAGTCCAAGTATACAAGGGCAGGGCAAGGGTGTATAGTGAGCCGACTGGATTTCTGCTGCTCCTCGGTGCCCCTTCATGGGACACCCCTCTCGCTGCCAACACCCCTGCAGTGCACATGCCACACCAGGATCCCCGCTTGCATGTAGACATGCTCCAGCCCAGGGCCATTCACCCTCTGGCTGTGATTTGGCACTGGCGAGCTTCCTGCTGGATGGAGTGAGAGGAGAAAGATGGGGGTCTCAGAACTGGAGTGACTTGGGAAGGTTTCATGGGGACAGAAGCTGTGGGCCCAAAAGGAAGGTCAGAACCCAGCTAAGACCTGGGGCAGTGGAGAGAGGAAAGCAGGGCCCGGGCAGTACTGGGGACTGGAGTAGCAGAAAGGGAAGACGTGTGGCTCTCCTCCCCGCCTTGCAGCCTCACGAGCTAGTCTGGTGACCTTGCCTGGCTGGGAGCGTGGCCCGGCTGGGCCTGGTCTAACCACCTGCTCCTCCTAGGATGAAGAGGGCGCCATTGTGATGCTGAAACGGCACCTGCGGCTGCAGCGCACAGTGGAGGAGTACGGCAGGAACATCAAGCAGCTGGCCAGCCGGGCCCAGGGCCTGCTGGCTGCTGGCCACCCTGAGGGGTACGTGTGCTCCTGGGGGATTGACAGATCATGGGCGTCAGGCCAGGGGCCCCACCATCCATGCTGGTGTCCAGATTGGCCCGGCTCCATTTCCTGCCTAGGGTTTGTGTGAGGAACCTAAAGTGGACGCCAGGCCAAGTGTACAAAAAGATTAGAAAATGGAATAATAGTCAACGCCATCTTGGTGACCTGAGAGCTCCATCTTTTAAAGAATTAGAATATGAGGCACTGAAAACTAATCTTGCTTTTCCTTTTTTGGTTTAGAAGGTGCTACGGGACCTCACAGGGTCTCAGCATAATCCGTAGGTAGGAGTGACGGTAGAGAAGCAGTACTATCTGACCTGACAAAGTAGGAACCCACCAGCCAGACTCCTCAGTCGTGGCCTGGCTCTAAGCTGCCTTTAGCATACCCATGACTGCATGTCCTCCGCAGCCACCCCAGCATGTCTCCTAGGGACCCCAAGGACTGAGCCCCTGTCTGTCTCTCCCTGAAGAGCTAAACAGGTTCAAAACTGGGGCCCCACTCACAGCTCTGCCCTCCCCCACCACCACCACCACCAAGGCTCCCGGGAAGGAGAAGTTCACCTTGTGCACTTTGAGAGAGGATTCTGAGAGAGGAGCCCTACTGAAGCCTACATGAGGCCACAGTCCTGCCGAGCCTGGCAGCATCGTGACCTAAAAGCCCGCCCCTGCACTTTCCAGCCCTTCCCTGGGCTTCATACCCCCATGTGTCCCTGCCAGGCCCTTAGGGGCCCAGCCTTTTCTCCAGAGCTGCCTGCTGTGAGTTTTTGATGGCCATCTTTAAGGGATTTCTTGGTTCAAATCCAGGGAACAGATTATCAGACATCAGGGTCAAGTGGACAAGCAGTACGCGGGACTGAAGGACATGGCCGAAGAACGCAGGCGGAAGTTGGAGAACATGTACCACCTGTTCCAGCTGAAGAGGGAGACCGACGACCTAGAGCAGTGGATCCTCGAAAAGGAAAAAGTGGCCGCCGACCAGGAGATGGGGCAAGACTTTGACCACGTGACTGTAAGTAACTATAGCCTCCGCTTTCTGTGCCTTCCATTATTAGCATGGGCAGACACGGACAGATGTCCTTCCTGACCCCTGTGCCACCCCTGCATGGGTCAGGCATGTAATAATACTGGGTGGGATGCGGCCAGCAGGCTCAGGCTGCCTGGGGAAAGTGTGAGGTCAGGCTAGGCAGTTGCAGTCCTAGGAGAAAGCATAATGATGTCCACCTGCCCCTGCACCCCACTGAGTCTGTTTCTGTCCACCCCGAATCCAGATGCTCAGAGACAAGTTCCGAGACTTCGCCCGGGAGACTGGGACGATCGGGCAGGAACGGGTGGACAATGTGAATGCCATCATTGAGCGGCTCATCGACGCCGGGCACAGTGAGGCGGCCACCATCGCTGAGTGGAAGGACGGGCTGAATGACATGTGGGCGGACCTGCTGGAGCTCATCGACACGCGCATGCAGCTGCTGGCGGCTTCCTACGACCTCCACCGCTACTTCTACACGGGCGCCGAGATCCTAGTCCTCATTGACGAGAAGCACCGGGAGCTGCCTGAGGACGTGGGGCTGGATGCCAGCACGGCTGAGTCCTTCCACCGCGTGCACAAGGCCTTCGAGCAGGAGCTCCACCTGCTGGCCGTGCAGGTGCCCTAGAGCGTCACTAACCCCTTCCACCCTGCAGGGTGTCTGAGTCCTGTGTGGCTCCTAGAAGAAAAACTAGAATGGGCACTCTAGGGGAGATGTTTCTCGCCCCTAGAGAACAACAGCTCAGCGCAGAGAGCAGCGATACTCTAGCTTCAGAAGTAACTTCTTAAAATGACTTCACAAATAACTTCCGGTCCAATTTCTCTGCTTGCTCAGTATCTTTAGCTAATGGATAGCACTTTTTTGGCCCTGGTGCTGTTCTAAGCTGTCGAGGCAGTCATCAGATTCTCCAGCTGTCCTTTCGAGTAGGTGCAAACATTGCCTGCATTTAGTAGATGAGGTCATCAAGGCAGCGTGTGAGTGGCCCGGGAATCTGTGGGTGTGCAGTGGAACCAGGGTTCAGAGCTTGGTGGTCCAGTTGCAGCCCTCACATGCTTAGTGGGATTCCAAGGCCTGCTGCCTAGCCCACCTTTCTGATCACTAGGATATACCCTGAGGTTCCTCTGTGACCCTAGGATTTCCCAGAGTTCAGTGTTTGTAGAAAGGGCAAGTGTGCAAAGCCCCAGCTGCTGAGGGACACCTCTCCCCTCACCCCCAGCTTCCATTGGAGTAGAAAGAAATGCACTAACTGAGCAGTCCCAGGCTCATACGGGGGTTCAGGGATAGATGTCAGTGCAGGGTGGGCCCTGGTTCTCTTCGAACGGGGTCCCTTAGGGTCTGATGCATCTAGAAGCTGAAGGTGGAACCTGGGATGTGGCTGGGCTGTCATGCTTGGAGCTGCCAGAGCCCTTGAGACAAGTATAACCTGACTGAGGTCTCAGGAATGTGAGGCTTCACTCTCTGGGGTTGGCCCCAGGCAGGGGAACAGACACAGTCCCTTCCTCGGAGAGGCAGGAGGCACACTGGGGAAAATAGAGACCCAGGAGCACAGTTCCAGCCCCACTGTCCCCTGGGCTAATGTGAGGGACTGGGGCCGACAACTTTGCCTGCTTGTGCTTAGTTGCCTTGTCTTAAAGGCAGGTGTGGTAACAGTACCTCTTTCATGGGTTGCTATAAAGATGAAGAGAATTGATAGACATGAGCCCTGCCCATCACTGTCTCTTATTGTTACTTCTGAGGCAATCGAAGTGCAGAGCCCCTCTTACTTCAAACTCTCCCCACAGCCCACGGGTGCTTTGGGTAGGTGCAGGTGCCAGAGCAGGAAGCCTCTCCAGGAGACTCCCTGCTGGGTATCCCTTCTGGTCCAGGCCCGAGAGCCCTCTGTCCAGGGAACAGTGTCCGTTTTCACCTGACTGTGCAGGTGCAGCAGTTCCAGGATGTGGCCGCGCGCTTGCAGACGGCGTATGCTGGGGAAAAGGCCGATGCCATCCAGAGCAAGGAGCAGGAGGTGTCTGCTGCCTGGCAGGCACTGCTCGATGCCTGTGCTGGGCGCCGGACCCAGCTAGTGGACACAGCCGACAAATTCCGCTTCTTCAGCATGATCCGCGACCTCCTCTCCTGGATGGAGAGCATCATCCGGCAGATTGAGACCCAGGAGAAGCCCAGGTGAGGAGGCAGCCTTAGGACAGCCCCACTCTGCACCAAGGCCCCCCTGGGAACTGGCCTGGACTGCTGGGTGTGTGAGAGTCCCCTAGGGATGCCTGAGACCTCACCTGGGTCCTAGAAGAAATGGAGTTGCTCAGTTTTGATTAGAACTATTTCAGAGTAAGGGGAGAATGACATGTGTCACCACATGCTCCCATAGGGGTAGTGACCCCTGTATCAGTGAAATAAGCAACTCACACATCCAAAGCTGGGCAGGTCCAAGACTGTTCATTCTTCCCCAGTGCTGGAATAATGGGGGCCATTCCCCTGAAACTCAGGATGGAGCTGATTGTCCATGAAAGATGGGGCCAGGCACATGACAGTGGTAGCCACACAGGACTCAGCTCCCTACCCTGTTTGTGTCAGCTCAGCAATTACTGGTGACCCATGTCTGTCCTGCTGCCCCTCTGATGCCTTCCCAATGGCTGTATTTTTGTCTTTAATATCTTTGTCGAAATATAAATCGCATACTATATCTACTTAAAGTATGCCACTCAGTGATTTTATATATTCCCATTTATACAACTAACATCACATTCTGAGTTTAGATTTTCCTCAAGCCAACCCCTCACCACTTCCACTTCCATTAGAGTCGCTCACTGTGCCCTTTGCCCCTGGCAGCCTCTGTTCTACTTTTTGTCTCTAGATTGCCTGTGCTGGGCTTTTCATATAAATGGAATCATGTAATATCTTATATAAATGGCTTCCTTCATTTAGCCTACTTTTAAGGTTCATCTATCTTATATTATGAATCAGTACTTCAGTATTTTTTTATTTCTGAAAAATATTCCCAGGTGTATTAGTCAACTTTCCTGTCACTAGTACAAAATACTTAGTACTCACAACTTAAAGGGGAGATTTAATATGGCTCATGGTTTCCAGGGTGTCAGTCCATGGCTGGCTGGCCCTTAAGACAGGAACATCATGGTAGAAGACAGTGGTAAAACAAAACCCGTAGTTCATGGTGGCTAGGAAGCACAGAAAGGGACCAGGGACCAGATATAAAAGATATAAATCCCCCAATGTGTCACACCTCTGTGACACACCCAGGCATGGCCAGAAGTGTGCTTTCACTAATCTAAGTGACTCCCAAACCAATCAAGTTGACAGTGTAGTTGACTCTTGGTTTTTTCTGGAATCCCTGTACCCCCCGCCCACACCTTGGCCAGTGACCAATGGAAGACAAAAGGTATCAGTGAACCTGCTGCAGCTGGCCACGCAGATGACTCCCTAGCTGGTCAGGGAGAGGACAGAGTGGGGACAGGTGGGAGGTGGCCCCTCTGCCACAGCGACTCCCGAATGGTCCTCTCTGTGCTCATCCTCCTGCCCACAGGGATGTGTCCTCTGTGGAACTGCTCTTGAAGTATCACCAGGGCATCAAGGCAGAGATTAATACCCGAGCCAAGAACTTCAATACCTGCCTGGAGCTCGGGGAGTCCCTGCTGCAGCGGCAGCACCAGGCCTCGGATGAGGTAAGCCTCTGCCTGTCTGTGTCCCCACTCTTGCTGGTCTGGCAACTTTAGAGGGTCTTAGCTTTCACCTGTGGAGCATCAGGCTGCCCACAGGCCAGGAATCAGATCCGCACCGGAAAGCAGATCTGTATCGCCCCCCAGCACCCATATGAATGCATAGGAAGGCACAAATAGGGGTCTCAGAGAGGTTAAGTGACTTGCCCAAGGTTGCATAGCTAGAAAGAAGCAGGGTCATAACTTGAAGCCAGGACTGGTGACCAAGCCTGCCCTTCCCTGCAGCAGCCATCTACACGCTGCCTCAGACAGAGGGGAGGTTCACCAGTGCCTGAGCTGCTCTCCCTCCCTTCCCTGCAGATCCGAGAGAAACTGCAGCAGATGATGGCCAAGCGCCTGGAGATGGATAAGAAGTGGGAGGACCGGGATGACCGGCTCCGCATGTGTGAGTGCGGCTCAGGGCCCAGAGAGCCTGGGGGAGTGGACCTCTACCCCACATGGCAGAGGCGAGGAGAGGGTGGTGAAGATCCTGGGGCCCAGGGCCTCACACATCTACCAAACTCTGGGCTTCAGGTCTCAGGTCCCGGCAGAAGGCCCCTGTACATGCTCCCTGGGAGTTCCCCCAGCAACCAATATGCCCCACTCCCTGCCCACCCTGCCCCCCTGCAAACCAAAGCCTGCTGATCCCTGCAACTGTGGCCTGGGAGGGGTCAAGGCATGGCTTTAGTGCACCCTGAACACTGGCTCTGGAGCACCCTCCAGCCTCTGGAGACCCAGGATAGGTGAGGGAAAGCTCGATTTTCTGTTTCTTAGCCAGGCATGGTGACACATGCCTGTAATCCCAGTGTTCTGGGATACACAGGCAGGGGAATCTCAAGTTCAAACCCAGCCTAGGCAACTCAGTGAGTTAATGAGACTTCGTCTTAAAATCAAAATTAAATATAGGACTAGGATGCTTGGCATGCAGCTGCTGGGTTCAATCCCTAATATCTAGTTTAAAAAAAAAAGGCTCAGACTGGTACCATGGCTGCTTGTCCAGATGGTATGAGATGGCCAGGGCAAGAAGAGAACACCAGTGCCCCTCAGGGAGAGGCCCCTAACTGCATCTGGTTTCCCAGAATGGTTTGTTCTGATGAATGTTTCAGAGATAGACCATTGGTGGAGGTGGGGTTGGACGGAAGGGTGGGAGGGAGTGGTGTTGGGCAGGGTGTCCCAGCAGAGGTCTAAGCAGGGTATCACCGTATGAGCGTCCTGCTTGGTCACTGGCCCCTGTGTGTGTCTGCTGTGCCACCCCAGTCACTTGGACCAGTGAGCGCTAACAGGCCCTGCCTGGTGGGTGGCTCTGGGGCTTGTTCCCACTGCAGTGCTTGAGGTCTGCCAGTTCTCGAGGGACGCCTCTGTGGCTGAAGCATGGCTGATCGCTCAAGAACCCTACCTGGCCAGCCGGGACTATGGGCACACGGTGGACAGCGTGGAGAAGCTGATCAGGAGGCACGAGGCTTTCGAGAAATCCACAGCCACCTGGGCAGAGCGCTTTGCCGCCCTGGAGAAACCTACCACAGTAAGCAGAGTGTCAGGGCCTTCAGGGTGGCAGGCTGCCAGGTGAAGGGCTCTTGACTGTTGTCAGGTACCCAGACTGTGGTAGGGATGTGAGAAAGTACTAACCTTCAAATGCCAAAGCCAGAAGGAGGACTGGGGAACAGACTGGGGTGCAGAGCCATGCTGATAGGGAGGTCCTCTGAGAGCACAGCTGTAGCTACACTGACCCTTTGGCCTTTTCCTCCACCAGCTTGAGCTTAAAGAACAACGCCAGTCCCCAGAGAGACCCACAGAGGAGCCTGGGTGAGTGGCCGCTATGTGGTGGGGACATGGAGCTGGCTGCAGAGGGGGCCGGCTAGGGAGGAGGGCATAGCTTCCGGTCTGAAACTGGGGGTCTGCATAAAACACCTCTGACGTCTCACTGCTGGGCCCTTCGTCAATGCACTCAGAGTGTGCAGAGGCTGAAGCCGGATCACGTAGTCCCAGCCATGGTGGCCTGAGCCCTGGCCAGAAAAGGGTGGCCGGCAGTGGCTGCCATTAACCCTGATTCCTTGGTATAGCCCTGATTCTTTCCTTGGGAAACCGCCAACTGCAGCCCTGTCACATGGAAGGCATCTCTTCCTGGAGTATCTGCCTTTGCTTTTCCTAGTGAGGCTCCAGGAGGTACCCTGCTGAGCACCCCCGGCTGCCCAGGCTGGCAGGGCAGCACCTTCCCTATGGATACGGGGCAGCTGAAGCCAAACCTTGTGGGGCAGCACCTGTCACTACACAGAAACTGTATCTTCCTTAGGCCTCAAGAGGAGGAAGGCGAGACCGCAGGGGAGGCTCCCCAAGTCTACCGTGCGACCACCACCGAGAGAACGTCCCCGGTCAGTTTTCTGACGGGTTGGTCTGGTTCAATGGAGTCATTGCTGCCAGAGCCCTCTCATCCCTAGTAGGCTGAGCCAGGGCGGAAGGCAAGGACAGGGCCCAGCTGCCCTCGTCCCTCCAGGACCGCCTTCCAGTCTACTTTTTTACTTAGGCCTATTTGAGTCTTAAGGAGAATTCCCCTCTTCCTTTCCACCCAGAAGAAACTGACATGCCAGCTCACTGACATGACTCTGCTAGTTTGGTTTTATCTAGTCTAATAAATTTTATTGTATAAACACATCACCATCGACATCAGGGCGGCTCTTCATCCACACAGACTCACTTTTGTGCACCCCTTCCTACCTAATTCCCTCCTGGACACAGCACCTCACTGCATGCGCACACACACACACACACACACACACACACACGCACACACGCACAGGCACACAGGCACGCACCCCCACACAGACATCAGCCAACACCCACCCCGCCCCAGGCATTTGGGGCAGTGAGGTGGACACCCCATTCTGGCAGAGTCTCCCTCCCTCCCATACAGAGCCCGGTTTCCTTTCTGCTGCCTTGGCTGGGGTCAGTTTGGATATGGAGCTGGTTCTGCACCAAGAACCCCATGGGAGTGAAGGGAAACCCCAGGACTTTCTGCAATGGGGGCAGCCCCCCAACTTACAGAAAAGGAGGGTGAGGCAGAGGCCTGGAGGTGGAAGGAGGGAATGAGGGAGGGGCCTGGGCTCTGCCAGGGGCCGGAGGCATATGTCTTCAGGACCTTGCCTAGGGTGCCTTTGGGCCTGGGAGGACCTTCTGGGACCCTGGGCACTGTAGGCCTGGGCACTGTTCTGGGGAACAATTAGGAAGAAGCAAGAACCAGCATGCAGCTCGCTCGGCTTCTCCACTGCATGGACTCCCTGTGCATGTGGCTCGGGGTGTCAGGGGAGCAACAAATCATTCACATACCCAGGCACCCAAGTGGGTGTGCCTGACCCCTGGGTGAGGGTTTATAAAGATCAAGGTTCTGCACAGAAATGTCTGGTACATAAGCCACCCCAGAAAACACACGTATGCGCACATGCACACGCACACGCCAAGCCCTGCCTCTGCTGGACTCAGATGTTAGCCCTCCCTTGCCTTTGTGCAGTGACACGTAGCTCCCTCTGCCTCCCTCCTAAACGGCACAGCCCATGGTGCCCAGCAGAGGGCACCGTGGGCCTCTCCCTGAAGTTCTCTTGAATCTCCTGTCATCCCTGTCTGTGTATGATAGACTGTGTGTTCTAGCTCCTTTTTCCCTGCACCAGCCTCAGCCAGAGGGAGAGAAGTCTGGGCTGACAAAAACCGCGGCCACAGGCTGGAGCTTCCCCCGCCTTCTGACCCCAAATGCGCTTCTGCCCTGGATCCCTGTGTGTCTGCATGCCATGGTGTTCCCGGTGTGCGGGCTCCTTCGCGGCCACCTGAGCAACTTACCATGTGTCATGTCAGTTCGTGCAAGTGTAATTATGAGTGCATCAGAGCCGCTGAATGTCACAGGGCCAGGGGAATAAACCTGCTTGGACCTGAATGTCTCTCGGGGAAGGAGGCGTGAGCCCACATCTGAGAGCTTCCCAGAGAGCCAGCCACTCCACTCTGCCAGATGGGAAAATTGGCTGTGCCTCACACCAGAAAGAAACCAGATGGCACATCCACTGAACACCAGGCCAAGGCCTCCTGGACACAGATTTCCCCTGCGATCCTTTCTGAGCCTCTGAGTTTTCATGAGCTCTGTGAAACACAGAGGGAAGACCACTCAGTTGCATTTGACATGAGAAAGCGGGTGGGAGCCTTTCCGGCTGGGAGAGCCTGGCCTGCATGGGAAGGCTCCTCCCCTCCAGCCGGCCCCATCCTGCCCCTGTCCAGGACCCTGGCCCATCTTAGCAGGCTTGGGACAAGCCCTGGGTGCGGTGGCTCTGCTGCCTGTGCTGTGTGTGCGCGGTTGGCGTCCGTGTCCTGTAGGTTAGACCCACGCCATGTCGCTACATGTAAAGCCCCCAATAGTGCATGTTGCTTCCTGCTGAGGGGGATGGACTGGAGTGGCCCCCACTGGACAGCCTCATACTACAAGGCAGCCACTCCCGTCCTCCCCTTCCCGTGTGTGTGCACACACGTGTGTGCACAGTGACCACGCTGCCATGCCATCTTCGTGTGATGCCAGTGCCCTCCCTCACCTCCAACCTCTCCACATCAGAGCAGGCCTGGTAAAAGGCAGTCCCCTCCTTCAGGTAAGTACCGGGGAGACGGGGCTGGAGACACAAGTGTCCCTGGGCACCTGGGTGCTGGTCCCTGCTTCTGTTGGGGACTTCTCAAGGGTTAGCAATAGCTCCTGAGCTTCACCCCAGGGAGGAGGCTTCACTGCTCTCTGGTCATCTTTGCTGTAAGGCACCTAGCTGGTTTGCTAGGAACTAGCTGATGTGAGGCTGGGAGGGGGAAGAGGAGGCTGGGATACCTCCTTTTATCCCTGTTTGAGAAGAAAGGCCAGGTTGGATCTCTATTGTTACCACCAGAAAGGGGCCTGCTGGCTTCCACTCTGTGCCCAGAGCAGCAGCAACCAGGCAGACCTTCCCAGAGCCTGGTGCATGACAACATCCTGGCCAGCAATGTCCTTACTCTGAGTCCCTCGCCTACTGTGCCTCTGGTACTCTTTCCCTGTGTCTGGCCCTGGGAGAGTCTTTCAGGTCCTGATGAACGTCCCTCATCTTCAGACCCTGGTTGCCTTGGCCTCCCCTGGGTAGCATCTGTGGCAAGAGGTTTTCTCCAGGAGGGAAAGGGGTTTCCAGGGCACTAGAGAGGACCCCCCGCCAAGGCCTCAGCCTCTCCTGTGCATACCCTACACACTGCCTGTGCCAGTTTGGGGGCAGGATGCAGGGCTGCTGTGATGACAGGATGGTTTGGCACTCCCAGGAGCAGTGATAACTTCCCAGTTCCTTCACTGTTTGGGACAAACACAGCCTGTGAGCCTCCAAGCACCAGCTGGATCCAGGCTGTGGGGGTGACATGAAGCCACCCAGGTACCTTTCATAGCTGTCAGCACATGGTCAGGAAAGCTGCCTCCAAGGGCAAGCTCCCAGCCACATGGCTTCCCAGACTGCTTGTAAAGCCAGCTTCCCTGGAGAGGCTGAGGACAGGGAGTCAGGACTCCTGGGTCCCTTGTCTCTCCTTACCAGGGTCTTGGGTTTGTGTGGCTTTGGGGAAGTAGCTAGCCCAAAGCTATGTGAGTCCTGGGCTTGCAGTCTGGACCTCTTTCAGGCAGGGTCTGGCTGTCTGTAGCTGCTGTCATTCCCCAAACACCCCAGCCACCCCACCTCCATCTCCATAGCAGCCTCCCTGGGAGCAGCAACCTTGAGCTTTAGTCAGCAGCCAATGCAGGGCCCTGATGTCCTCAGAGGGAAGTGCTGGGGGCAAGCAGCCAGTAGCTGCTCCTCCGACCAAGCTTCCCCAGTCCTCCTACACTGGTAAGAGCTTTTTCAGACATTGTGCAGTACATGCAGATTCTATGTTTGTTCTTAATGGGCACTCCCAGCCTGGAAAGGACGTCAGCGTTCTCCCAACCTGGGTGTGTCCCTGTCTCCTCAGGATGCCTGAGTCAGTGTGGCAGGGGTGTGGCAGCCTGCAGCCTGGCACCCCGCCTGGCTCCCTGGAGAAACCTGCTTGGGATTCTTTCTGGCAGTTTGCCTGCTGCTGGGTGTGCCCAGCTCTCTTTGCCATGGTCAGATGTACTCTTCCCACTCCAAAGACTCTTCCCAAGTTTGTTCTTTCAAGCTGTGTTTCAGAGCACCCCAGATATTGATGGACTCAGGAGGAGACTGAGTAAACACTGGAGGCATCTCACAAAGGGGTCTGGAGTGACGCTTGAGCATTGGGTAGCTGGTCTGTGTGCAGGGCTTGGCATGTTCTAACTCTCTCTGGTCTTGCTAATGCTGAGTGGTGGCTCCAGGGCACCAAGAGAGTAAGCAGCTACAGCTCCTCCAGGACAGGGACCCAAGGAGACCACACAGTGGTAGGCATGGACTCAGTTCTGGTGGGAGCCTTCTACTTCCCTGCCCCCTGGCAGTGGGCAGGTCTCCTTCCTTCCAGTGTGGGGGAGCCTGGAAACTGCCATTCCCTTTCACGCTCACCCAATTTACCTGCTGGCCTTTTGCTCTGCATCCCCTCCTATGCCCTTGCTCAAGCTCCCCTCTTGCTGTCTTGGACTGATAGCTACCCCTTGGGCTGCAGTACTCAACAGCTGGGCGCCCCAACCCACTTCTCATGGGTGCTGTCGCTGACCCCAGATCCCACTCCTCGCTGGCTCTTCCCTCTTGTTTGGCACAGGCTCAGGTCTCTTACGTGGGGCATTTGTCTCTGCTGCCCTACGCTGCCACCTCTTCATTTCTTTATCTCTTTGGCTGCTTTCAATTCAGCAAACCATGGTTCTCCTGCACACAGCTGTCTCTGAACAGCCTTCCCCGACCCACCCACACAGCCCTGTCACAAGGAGCACAGCACCAAGACGGCAGATGCTGGGGTGGGGAAATGTGCTTGGCCAGAGTGGCCAGCTGTGCCCACCCCACCGTCCCCCAGCACGGTTAGCTGCCTGGGATCTGATAGTGGGCCCCGTCTGGCCTCAGGCCCTCCCTCTTCCAGCTCCTTCCAGCGCAGCCCTGATGTGATCATGCTGCTTAAACTGATCAGCCACATGTCTTATATAAGCTGGGTGCATCTCATTTAGCTCCATGAACCATCAGATTGGTGCCGTCCTCCGGAGTAACGGTCCCCGCCTCCCCTATCACAACAGGACTTAGTAGAGAAAGCCAAGTTTGGAGTCAGATAGGCTCACTACACCTTCCTTCACTAGATGCCTGGAACTGTGAGAAATAGACTTACACCTCCCCACCTCAGCCCCCTCATCTATAAAATGGGCAGCAGCTGCATCTGCCTTGCAGGGAGGCGGTGAGTATTGGAAGAAAGAATGTAGCTAATGCAGCTGGCTCTGAGG